AGCAAATGCTATTTTAGGCATAACATTTGATAAAGGCACAACAGCTGTTGTAAACAAACTTTTAAGGGCCCTTTACACGCCAATCGAAGTACGCTCACGCAAACCAACAACATCATTGGATAGGGGCAACTCTCACCTTTTCGAAAGTGGTATTGGTTAGCGTGTTTGGAGTGTTAAGGGCCTTAAAAAGTTTGTTTAAAAATGCTTCTATGCCGTTATCAAATGGTACGCCTGATTTGTTATCCACTAATATAACTGATGTTTTTTACGTATCCGAGGCACCCGTTCTCTTTGAAAAAAAAAGTGTTCCACACTGGAATTGAATGTTCCATGAGAAACCCGCAATTTTGACAAATAATTTGTATTTTGATTTAAGCAAAGCAAACTATGAACTTATCAAAAACAAACTGAGCTGTATCAACTGGCATGCTGTTAAAGCTGCGTTTGTCAAATAATCCAACGCTATTTTCTAGTTTTTCTCTTAAGTCTCTGAACCATTTGGTAGATTATTTTAACTTTTAGTTAAAATTTGACAGATGGAAAGTTATCGATTAACCCTGCTATCCGAGCGTGGTTACTTCTTAGAAGTTAAATTTTGACAACCTTGGCTAAGTTCTTCTTGAAAACCGGTCGATCGACAGCACAGGGATTTTTGAACATAGAAAATCACTTTCGAAATGTCACTTTTCACCATGAGTTAAATTTAACTCGGCAAATGGTTCACAGCCTGAATTGGCAATAACCACACATCACATAAGATTGAACACACTCAGCACCGTACTCAGGAGGTGGAGAAGGGCAAAAATAAAATTGCTTGGATTCTACCAAACCAAATATAAATTTAGTTGTTATTAATGTCACCATTGAAAATTAATTTTAGGAACAATGACCAGTTTATGTTCGAAAATCGTTAAGCTTTAGTTTCATGTCAGTTTTTCGGTGGTAAAAGAAAGCGAAAACAAATTTTCGTGCTATAAGTGCTTAACAAGTGTTGCTTAATCGATATTACCCAAGTAACAATTCAAGCTGAACAGTAAGAACAGAAGCTGATTATTGGTTGATTTAAGGTGTACGAAGCTGATTAACACCAGGCTGAATAAAAAGTTGATTAGTAGCGCATAAAGTGAATTGTATCTCCATAATTCAACCTCAATAAGTTAGCTGAACTAAAGACTGAACAAGACTTATTTAAGCTTAACACTACTCCCAAATCATCAATGCACTATAAATATTGTAAAGCCTGATAGAATAATTTGAATATATTGCACAATATTGTTAAATGTCAGTTCTACTCGTTGCATTTCCGGAATTTTAATGCTTTTTAATTCACTATGCCTACCTTACTAATTCCAAGCAGCACCAGCAGTTAAGGGGTTACGCCTACCTGCAGACTTTCAAAAATCGATTTTTTTTTATTGTCCTAATCGAAAGTATATAAAGTCAAGAATATTTCCTCAAAAGATCAAGTTGATCCGATGAAAATTGTGAAAGTTATGCGACGTACACAAATATTCACTTATAGTGGACTAAACCCAACTTGAAACTTTAAATGCTCTTATCTCGGAATCATATTTTCAAAACCGGTGCCAAAAATTTCTCGAAATGTATGCACATGCTTAACGATTTGGCATGGTTTTTTTTTTTTTTTTTTTCAGATGATTACATCACGAACCGCAGTTGGCACCGCAAAAAGCGTTTTTTAGAACATCGTCCACGGGGAGCAGCCGTGCGGTTCACCAGGACCTCTTTTTTTACAGCATCGACTGATAAATGTACCATTTAATGTGTGTTAAATAAACGGCAGAAAACCGATTTTCAATATGTTGCGTCGTTTTCGAGAAAAAAATCCAAACTTTCGCTTTTTTTCGGTCTTGCAGGTAGACGTAACCCCTTAAGACAAGGAAGAGTAGCTTTTGATGATAATCTTCAGATAGAAGTGGACTGCAACGACGTATTCCTGTGTTTTGACTTGGTTGATACACTCACTGCACTGAATTTTCAGACCACATTCCAAAAATATAATCCAATTATGGCACTAAATCAGCATCCAAACGACAATCGAAATAAATCGCGCACTTGTTTACTGCACTTGAAATTGAGAGGAATATTTTACTGTCCTCATTTGTTGTTTACAATTTTGCACTGCTGTACAATACTCTTTCGGTTGCTATTATTCAACTTATATTTGACGACCTTCAAGTTAACGATCATACCTTCTGACACACATATGCTTAAGTGGTACAGTAGGTATGGTAGACGCCTGTAGATCAGAGACTGTCGGTTCGAATTCCGAAATGCAAAAGCAATTTTAAGACTTAGACAATATAAATATTTATGTGAATCCAATTTGTCAGCATTAAGGTAAAACAGTCTCATAACAATTAAAATATATCAAACGGCCTTGCATAATTTTTAAAAATATAAAATAGCAGGCTGAACAAGGGCTTTCAAGCTTTAAAACTATATTACTATAAAGCTTTCGGTTGATTAAAATCACCAGATTTAGATGTATAAAAGCTGAACAAAGGTTTACGTGGTATAAGTACAACAATTATTCAAACTAAGGCTGAATTAAAATCGTTGGAAGAACGCTTGTTAAGCATCGAATTGTTACCTGAGTAATTTATCCTTAGATGGAATAATTGCTATACATAGATAACGTTAACCTTTGCTCACCTTTTAATCACATAAATTTGGTGATGTTAATCAGCCAAAAGCATAACAGTAATGTATACATTATAAGCTTTTTAAGGCATTGAATAAAAGTCTTTTCCAACAAGGGTTGCAGCTTTCTAGTTTTATTTCAAAAATAATAATCGAAGGCTGCTTCAAATCTTATTTTATAAGGGGAATGCTTTAACTTTTTTTGCTGGCTAATTGGATTTACATATTGATAATATAAGTCGTAAAATTACCTTTGCATTTCGGGATTCAAACTGGCAGTCACTGATTCACAGGCGTAAACCATACCGTTCTGGACCAATTAAGAATATGTGTGGCAAAAGGTATGATCATTATCTTGAATCACGTCAAATTTAAGTTGAATAACAGCAACCGGAAGAGTATTATCAACTGGTGGTAACTAACGATTTTAAATTGACTCACTACTTGACTAGTCTATTGTCCCAAGTACATCTATAAGCGTACCCTATTTTAGTACTACACTGGGTTTGTTTTGATTCGCTATGCAAGATGGACACGTGAATTTTCCTATGTTTCGAGGGGTGCATCGATTAGCTTGGGACCGAAGATAGTTCCAGAGCTGAGTCAAAAAGTTGTACACGTTTCTTCGTGACCTTCTGGTCTTAGAGTTACCTCTATTGGTATTATACAGCAATGCAGAATTGTAAACAACAACTGGTGACAGTAAAACATTTCCCTCATTTTCAAGTACAGTTAACCCTTTGTCTGTACCTCTAAAATAAAACTGAACTTCATTACTAAATTTCTTCAAAATGGGTATTAAATGAAATTCGAAACATGTCTCAACTACGAGGAAGCCATATCAAGAAGACTTAAGCATGGAAAAATGTCAGAGAAAAAATCGTTTTGATGGATCATAAAGATAGCTAACATAGCCTGAGGTCATATTGACCCCAAGATACAGACAAAGGGTTAACACAATGTTGAAACAAGTGTGTGATTTATTTCGATGGTCATTTGGATGCTAAAACCATAACTAAGCAATATTTTTGGAATGCGGTCTGAAACTTCAGTGCAACATAACAGACAAAGCACAAGAATACAAATGTTAATTCTTCCGACGTTGTCGCAGTTCATATCTACCTGGGCCTATTCCTAAAAATCTTCTATTCCTTGTCTCAACTGCTGCCACTGCTTGTAATTAGAAAGGTACCCACGTAACATTGAAAGCTTTATAGAGGTTTTATATCATTCTACAAATCCAAATCATGGTCTACAGAACCCTCGAAAAACCAAAATTGTTACTTGGGTAGGCAGTGAATTTAGAAGAACTAAACTGCCGGAAATGCAACGAGTGACATTGACGACATTTAACAAATCAAGTTATCAAAATATGTGTAACACTTTGCTGATTTGTGGAGTTGTGGTTTGTTCAATCTTTAAATCAACTAACTTATTGAGGTTGGATTTTGGGGATACAGTTCGCTTCATGCACTACTAATCAACTATTCAGTCTGATGTTAATCAGCTTTGTACACCTTAAATCAACCAATAATCAGCTTCTGCTCTTACTGTTCAGCTTGAATTGTTACTTGGGAGAGCAGTAGAGAATGCACATGTCTGATAACCGCAACGTTCGTGGTTGGAGTCCCAATCGGCATCCTTTTTTTTCGGCATGATTAATTTCAATCACTAATACACTGCTTTCTTTCTCTATTTTATTGCATTGGACCGCAGCTCGGCATATTGCATCCTCCGTTCATGCGGTCTCCACTAATATCCTTTATCGAACGTATCCTAATATGGTTACCTTCAAACTGCTGTGACACTTATGAGAGGTCATAGAGTTCTCTGCATTCGTCCAACTAACATTCCTTCCTATCCCCAGCAGTTGCAAAGACGTGTCCAGGACAGTTCTCAATTGTAGGAGATAACTATACTTCCATCTAAAAAGCCAAGATCAATCCCAAATCTCGGTCAATACAGTAACGGATGGAGGTGGCAATACTCTCAAACTATGGACTTGAACCACTTACGAGTTTATGCAACTTACTCAAATTATTATTATCATTAATAATTATAAGGGAAGGTCCATTAATGATGTCACGCAAATTTTGCCCCTTTTTCAACCCACCTCCCCCCTTTGACGCATTTTTTATATGGACCCTATTTTTTTTTTTTTTGTATTGCTCGTCACAGTTTTCAAACAATAAAAGAGTGACATAATTAATGGACGGTCCCTAATTAGGGGATAACTAACGATAACTGATCGAGCGTTGAATTGACCTGATAACCGGTTTTCAGATTGACCATTCCTAGTACAACCAGAACAGAAAAAAAAACCGACCCCAACTCACCTCTGGTCAGTATCCGCCGCATGCTGCGCTTGATCGTCCACGAGCAGTTCCACATGTTGTTCCGGAACTGGTTCTCGCACTCCCGGAAGCCCAGACTGATGCCCCGTTTGATTTCCTTCATCAACGAGGTGTCATTTTTGCAGATTTCCGCCAGCTTTCCGGTCAACCGCTTGGCCTTCTTGTTGTTCCTATTCTCGCAGACCTGCGCAGGATCCAGCAGAATGTTACTGCCTTCGGCCCTGAAAAAAAAAGAAGAGCGAACAAAATAGGGTAATCAGAATCAATCAGTTACCTCAGCGCTACTGTACTGTGCTCATCAACAGAATGCGTTTGAAGTCAGTGTGAGATGGATTTATAAATAGACAAGTGGCAATAATCGTTAAATTGTTGTAATAAAATTTAAATTATTTGCTCTTCCACAGCAGGAGTTGCTGCTGCGAGTGCGCCGGCCAGGGCGAGAGTGAGAGAAGTAGATTATTACGAGATGTGGTGTAATTATTGATCATTAACCGGCAGTTTGCTCGTTTATTCCAGCCCAGTGATGCTATGGGATATCAGAACGGAGAGTGAAATTGAACTTGCTCTGGAATGGCGCGCTGAGTGAACAGCAATAAAATTCTATTTTTTCGTAGTTTACTATAAATAATCTCATTTTAAGAGGAATTTGTATATTTTCCAGACCCCAACGAATGGAATGAATGGTTTTTTTTGTGGGCAACGATCTGCATCGTAACTTCTTATAAAGATCGAAAACTGATGAAGCAATACGATTCAAGGGGTACATAAATAACAGATTTAGTGCATATGCAAAAGGATAATCCGGGTTAAATTGATACTGGAATAAAGTCGTACCGCAGTCCAAACGCACACCGGCGATCGCTTGAGGAATGCATTATAAAGATAGAGCATTTAAGATGAATAATTTATTAACATTTTTACGGTAACAAAATTAGATATGCAAAACAAGTCTCGGTCGTATGAATGGCTCCGGTTCTCGCACTTGACCCTTGGTGGCGGCAGCATACCCAGGGACAGACGAGCAGACGTGCGGTCCTTTGCACATATTCCGTGTTCGTATACGACGTACGCGGTTTCATAATCCAAATCTGAAACAAAGCGATGATGTTCCTGCGTTGCTGCGGAGTCGAGACCAACCTCAACATATGAATATGCTGCTGCTGCTGCTGCTTTGATCGTTTTGATCGCATCATTTTTGATCCCCCCACTTCTGCTTCCACGGTGGTGTTATTCCTTTTATTTCGTAATAAAAATAATAAAGATTTAGATAATGAAAGAGAATATCGCTGCTGCACAGCTCCCTTTAAGGTAGAATGAAACTCCCAGGGATTCAATTTCGGAGTGAAGGTTTTAAGAATCTCACTTTATGGGTCCATAAGTGTCCACCAACGTAAATTCAGCTGTAGGACAGTCTGAGAGAATGGAAAAGATCGTGTCATAAAACGTGACTGTCACGTGGCGCTTCCCAACATGCGATCGGTTAATTCTAAGAAAGACTTGGTTGCAGCCAAAAAGATACAATGTAGCGCAATTTTAAAAACCTTTAATCAAATCCAAATCTGATGGAAACAACAATTAAATGAAGCTAATCACACACTACTGATATGAAAGTGAAAATATAGCCAAGTACACAGACAATAACAGACGACTTCCAATGGAAGCAGACCCTCCTAATGGATTAGCAGCCTCCGTCTGGTTTCTTGGTTTCTGCTCTTCCGATTCGATTTGCTAAATTTATTTCGGTAAAAACCTTCTCAAACCTCTAATGCACTGAAAAACACCGCACATACAAATACAACTCACCGATTCCGTGGGAGAACCCTGATTCGTGCCTTTTGGGCAAACTTTTATTGCAAACAAGATGTGTTAATATGTTAAACAAAATGTCAATTTATTTTAATTAATATTAAATGAGTCCGCAGCAGAGGCGCGCATCTTCAGCTGACCAACAAACGGCATGCTGCATCGCACAAATCGGGTTGTTGAGTCATGTTCGTGTGTGTTTGTGTGTGTGAAGTTGAACGAACAGCAGGAGGAAAGAACGAATAAATATTATTGGTGTCAATAAAAAGCGCTGAGGTGGTTTTCCACTAATTCAAATTTGCTTCGTTAATTGATCCATTCGAAGGATGTGCGTTAGCACGCCGTTGGCTGCTGTAGTTTCACTGGTCGTAAAAAAAAGAAACAGGCAGCCGATGCAGGCTTGTGGGATATTCTCGTCCACTGGTATTTGCAGGAACTCATCGATTAGTGTAAGTTGCTAATGTTCTTTTAGAATACTGGTTTGAAACATCAGAATCATGAACATGATAAATTCAACCGTGCAAAAATATTACTTTGTTGCATTCTCATGTGATAAGGTAAATTCATATTTTCGTATTTAATTTGTTCAAAATCAAAATTAATAATCAAAAATCTTGATCAAGAGATTTGACGAAAACACGTGAAATTTGACCTACCCATACGAGAATGGCACGTGTTTCGCAATTGAGTGCCAATCACCGACGTGCGTCGATGCCAAACTAACAATTTTCACAATGTAAACTTCCTTCTTTCCTTTATTTAACGTCGATCTCTGCACCGCAATCTAGTGTCAATTACCGGCGGACATCGATTGCCATCCATTGACAACAATCGAATGTGCAAGAAGGCAACTTCCACACCTGCGTAGGATATCGCACCAATTCAAGATACGTGGGCCGGTACCAACGGCTTTACTTCACTTCCGAAGGAAGACGTGACCAGGGATTTTTATGCCTCAGAAAAATTCCACCGACCTCAGCTGGGATTGAACCCAGACCCATTGGGATGAGAAAGCAGTCACGCTTACCACTACACCACCGTCGCCGGCTTACACATTGTAAACGCTTTACTCATTTCATTTATACAGCTTCAAGCTGTGTTAAAATGCTATACGATATGAGGTAACCTTTACTCAACCTCCATACAAAGTAAATCTAGCGAACTTAGTCAGCTACTCCCAATCAGGAAAAAATAACTAATGAATACCTGATTGTGATCTGATACCAAAATTTGATATTGACCAGCATGACATAAGAGGTAAAATAGCAAAGAATAATACCAAAAAATTACATGCTAAATACTTTGTAAATATCAAAAATTGGTATTTAGATACCAAAAGAATACCTGGGTGATATTGTTTTGGTATTGTATTATCATAATTTGGTATTGGAATGGTATTGTGGGAACATTTTTTTGGTATTATTTTTTGGTATTTTACCTCTTATGTCAGGCTCATCCATACCAATTTAAGGTATCGAGATATTCGTTCCTGCTCGGGCATATGGCTGGTTGGGACAAGCTCTTATTGCATATCCATTTACGCTTCTATACAGCTGTTATGCTGCTGTTCAGTTGTGTGTGAACTTGAAAGGCCCAACCTTTTCCCGATTATTCAATAATCACTACACAGCTTTATCTTCAAGCCGGGTTGAACAATATTTACAACAATTTTACTCTTTTTAATGAGGGAATTTATTGATTTTATTTTGCTGCGAAACAAATTACTAAAAATAAGTTATAAGCACACCACTAAATTTTTACCCTGCACCGGAACCTGAACTCGAACACAAGGCGACCCTATTGGCAAACCTTGACACTGCCAACACATTGAACTGACGTAAACAAATCTACATGACCTTCTACAACAAGATCGCTGAGTAGAGACTTTGCAATAGTGCACATGAATCACTTTTCTCGACTAGTTAGTTCAGCTTTGTAAAGGAGCGGAGTAAAAGCTGTAAAACTACACAGGTCTAAAAAAATGACTTACAAAGTAGCGCCAACACAGTTTATTAGCTGAGTACAGGTTGTGAAGTTGATTTTTTTTCCTTTAGTTTGTTTTTTCCGTCGATCTTGTTTTCCGTGTTGAGCACCAATGCTACCGACGTGCCAGGAAGGCAGCTCCCACACCTGGACCCTACCCGAGCAAAGTCGATTAACAAAATGAAAGCAAATCGATATTAAAGTTTGCAGTTCCTATCATAATGAAAGCTTATTTTGATTTCAATTGTCACGACAGAAGTCTGATATCTTATTGTGCTTTCATTATGCAGACAAGACTTTTTAAATCAAAGCAACTTAACTTGAGCATTTCTTGTTTAAAATTTGATTTAAGTTCATCTGTCGTTGAACTAACCATTATTGTTTATTTGTTTTGTTTAACGTATTTTAGGTCATTCGTGACTAGCCCGAGGTGATATGTTTTAAACGTTAAGTCAACCTAAATGAGATCAAATGGAGTATTCAAAATAAGTTACATCATAACAGCAAATTCTGATTTCAATTTGATCTCTAACCTTTGCTCGGGTACCTATCGACCCCTCAACTCATGAACCGGGGACCAACGGTTTAACTTCCCATCCGAAGGAAGGCGTGATTACAGATGTTATGCCTCAGAACATCCCGGCGGCGCCGACTGGGATTGAACCCAGGCCTGCTGGGGTGAGAGAGAGGTAATCAAGCTTACCACTACACCACCGGCACCGTTGAGGTTGTGAAGTTGATGAAAAAGCTCTTTTGATGTTTATGCTACTCAGCAAGAGTTGAAAGTTGATTAATATCGAAGTGATATTAGGCTGCTGTTATTCAGTGCGACTGACAAATTTAACAATAGTTGTGAATAAGTGGAGTAAACGCTTTCCAAAAATGTTTTGCTAGCTTCTGCTTTCAGCTGTATCTACAGCTTTTTTTTACCTACTTTACAGCACAATGCTGAAAAAGGTGGCATTTGATGAAGAAAATGTTAGTTGGGTTGCCAATTGGTGATTAATCACCAAAGGAAATCGAGTGCCAGGGAAGCAACTTCCACACCTGGAAACTTTCGAGTCCATCAATACATGAGCCGGCTTTACTCCCCTTGGGCGGTGACCAGAATTTCCGCCACTGAAATTCCAAATGAGCTCTTGTGAAATTGAACCAGGGCATACTGGAGTGAGAAAGAAGTCATCCACTGGTGCAGTCAGTTCAAACACATTGCATCACACCATGAGAGCTGTTCTGGAATAAGTCCGAAAAATCAACACGGTTTATTCAAAGAGTGCAGTTTCCAAGTAACCAAAACTTCCACATTCAACGATAAAACTCACTTCCAAGTTCCATACAGTTCACATAAAGTTCCAACAGAACCTTCAAGTTCCATAAAGTTCGGACAGAACTTTCAAGTTCCATAAAGTTCAAATAATGTTCCGACAAAACTTTC